AATTTAGTTCATAAAATTTACAAGAGTTATTAAAATTATTAATTTGTAACATTATTTACGTTTTATTAGTTAAATACTTACCAAAATTTAAAAAAAGTATCTTTTTTTGAAGAGTATAAGAGTAATGAAAAATTACTGGTAGAAGCCCGAATATAATAAGATATATCAGCACAGAGGTCCTCATGGTCCAAGTTAAGCATCTGTAATGTTTACACGTGTGTACATATACACACATATATATATGTGTGTGTGTGTGTGCGCGCGCGCGCGTGTGTAATTGTATAAATAATTGATAATTTAACAAAACTTTGATTTATCATTGATGCAATTAATCACAATATTAAATAATGTATAGATTTAATGTCATGGTATTAAAAGTTAAAAGTAATGAGATATATAATAAGAAAATTTCAAAATGTATAGGCTGTCCTGGAATCACTCGAAGTTCTTTACGATGCACATTTTGCTAACTATAAAACTAACTTTCCTTTAATAGAAAATTGTGTATTTGTTCTGTATAATTAATGACTAATAAAACAATATTTTCTAAATAATTAAAAATGTTATCAGAATTTTATTTTGTACTGAAAAAACTAGATTATAAAGTTATATATTCAAAATATATATTCAAAATTATAAAATTATAACAAAGTATTACATCGAGAGAGAAAGTTGACTTCAGATTAATTGAAGGATTCTAAAAAAAAATTGTGAGATTCTTGGATATTTATATTAATTATCATTAATATCTATAATTAACAATAATTAATTTTACGACGTTACTTAAGTAGTTTGCGTTTGCTATAAAACATAGAACAATAGCAAAAAAAAAACAAAGCTTAAAAAAAAACAAAAAAAAAAATAAAACAGAGAATAGCAATGATAAAATTAATAAAGGTATAATGCTAGATGCTATAATGCAGAAGCTGTTAAAAAAGTAAATACACACATATGCAGATAAAAGTTCTTATGATTAAATATTATATGTTAAACATAGTACATATTATGTTTAAGAGATAAAACTTATTCAGATAAAAAAAATGTTAACAAACTTATTTTTAAATCCAAATATATGCAAAGTAAATAACATACTCGTATATCATATATTAATATTATACCTTATTACGTTCATGGCAGAACATTATATTCTTTTATGCGCTTATAATTCAGATACACTTATGACACACAAGACATAATATCTTATCTCTTGATGTTTGCGACATGTAATTTATTATTAACTAAGTCTCTAATACTTATGTAATTATTCAATTGTGTTATACACATATTGTTACACTTACAAATACCATGAAAAGAAAGTTATGCTTTCTTTAACTAATTGTAAACAAAAATTGTGTAAATTACAAACACTACAAATACATGTTTCATTAATTTTTATTACATAAAATTCATATTTTATTATTTTATCGGTTTTATACCCACTTTCACTTCACTCTATTTTATTTCTATATAAATTTGTTTAAATATATATTTAGTAAATTAATTTTATAAATCTATACTAGTTTGTATTAAATCATATTTTACACAATTCAGCTTTATTAATTGTAAATACTTACAAATAATTATATTTAAATAAAAAATTTCATGTTTGTTTCATGTTTTTCACCCGAATATTGTAAAATGAAGATGCTGTGTAATTATTTTTTATTAGAGTTTATCGAGAATTCACTCCTTTGATGAATTATTATAATTACACATTCCTATTCCAACTTACTGATCACGTTCAATTTAACATTTATTTTACAACTATACTATTAGCTTCCTAGAGATAAAACTATTCTTCTAAATTTAAAAGTATTCCAAAAAAAATTGGCACGACGAAAACTGCCAATAATTGCAAAATAAACGTTCTGCTGAACGCGATCATTTACAATAATTGATTAATTTATACAGCTATTAAAGTTTAAAATTCTTTTCGTATTTTTAAATTAGAAAACACACTATTTAGCAGTGGCGTAATAAAGAAAGATTGCTTGGAGTGGTCTCTTCTTCCTCACGGACTTTTATGACTTCTTTACTACATTACTGATAATGGCAATCAATAGACTATTTTACAGGCTTCACATCTTCGCTCCTATGTTCTTGTAAATTATGGAAAAAATAAGCAACAATGTCTAAATTTTAAATAAACTGAAAACATTTAATAAATCTATTTTTTTTAATAAGGGCGATATTTATAGTTCATTCGTATTTTAAAACCGGCTTACTTAATGTCTTAAGATGCTAATTCCCCCTGATTAGTTTATAACAGCTTAAGACTGTATTTAAGACAATTTCAAATATAAGAATCGATTATGAATATCGGCCTAAAACAAATCATGCGGAGAAGAAAAGAATGCATTAATAATATAAAAAAAAAAACAGTTTTCTTATCGAAAATTATGGCAACATTTGATGAAAGGAATGCTAATAATGAAGTAGATTAAACGCTCGAGCTCAGAATTAATTAATGCATTAAAAATGCATTTATTGCATATTTGTCTTTAACAAAATGTCACAAACAGAAACTTAGTCCTACTACAGCAAAAAAAGAGTTGCCTATATAAGCTAACAATTTGACTTCAATTCCTTTGTCTTTTACTTGAGAAGCGAAGATAATTTTTTTTATTTACAAATAAATCTTCGAATTCATATTTTTGCTTGTAACGAGGAAGTACTGCTGAATTAATATCTTTAAGACTAAGACGGAAACTAAGGTAAATCGTCCTCTTTCTTACTACGTCATTGCTATTTAATAAATTATGATGAAATATAAGATAGCTGTTTATAAAAATAACAATGTTTTGATAGAATATTTTTTTGTTTAATCATATCATGCCACAGTTAGCTTATGATGATTAATTTCTAATCACTCTGACTTGCAAGTGACTGACAAGAATAACTGTAAGATACACGCTGTGTGCATCACAATAGGCACACAATTGCACTTAAAGAATCAAGTCAGACATAAATTTTAGCCAACAAAGAAATAAATCGATTTTATTTATTGTTTCGTTTTGAATAAGCTTGTAAATTATATTACGATGCACAGTTACATAAACAAAAGAAATACAAAATTATTTAGGTATAAAGGTACAATTATGGTAAAGTAACTTACATTCCCATGTACCAAATCTCAAGGATGATGATTGGTATTATTGCTGCTAATAGTAGGTACATCGACATCGTGACTGTTAGTGGTTACTGTTTCTTTACAGTATTTTCTTGTCACAAGTCCTTTCTTCGACCAAACTTAATTCCACAAATTTGTTATAAGAGATTGTTTTATTGTTATTATGTTAAGCTAATTATGAGTGAATGTAAATTGTTTGGATATAAGATGAAAAAATAATTACAAGAAAGTATAATGTATGAATTATATTCATAAATATAAATATATATTGTATTATATATATAAAAATAATCTTTATTTAATATTTCTGAGCATTAAAAAAAAATAGAAATGTATATAATTTATATTATTTGCTATATTTTGTCTGGCAAACACAATTATTATACATTTATTAAGTATTACATTTTAATTAAAAAATAATATTTCTTTAATAATATATGTCACTTAGAAATAATACGTAATAGACACTTAAGAGCATATAAATTTATTAGAGATTACCTATATTTTTATTATCACTTTTCACTTCTATACCTAAAAAATTATATTAAGAATAATTTACTAATAACCAACCAACTTCATCTTGAAAAATCATACAATGGAGCAAAGCTTCTAATTCTTCTTAACTTAAAATAAAAAATTCTGCACATATTTCTTTCTCTAGCATACTCTTTATATTTTTTTAGAGTTAATGTAAGGTTGTGAGTAATAACTATGATTAGTATAGCGACTCTAGTTCCTAGAAAAACGGTCGTAAAAGTTACGCTATCGATTGAGAAAAATCAATTCCGACAAGAAAAAGGAATTAACTTCTACAAACAAAGAATGCCTGTATAAACAGTTTTAAATGAGGCGAGTACCTTCTCATGAAACGTTTCTTTGGTAGCCAATATATCATAATTGAACGATATAAAGCGTTATCAGACTTGATAACCTGAAAATTAACAGATGTTTAGATAATTAGCACTCATGCTGTTTATACATACAAATAACAGTTATAACACAATCATAAACTATGTGTACGTTTACATCACGTACATACAGAAAGCAAAGCATCGGACGCTCATACGACGAAAATATATCTCGTTACGTTTGTCTTATTTAAACGCGACTTTGTACTTGAACAAAACCACCGACGAGACACTATTGAAGATCGTCAACCTTGAGCAAATTTTTGGTAATATAAAAAGGGCCCCAAGGACCCGGAAGTAATTGAAGAACGCTAACATTATCGACAGTTGATATAAATTTGCTATTATTAATATAAATATTTGGTTCATATATATATTATTAAATCATTCATGTATTATTAAATCCATGATCTTTTATTACATAAATGTTCTATAAATAAATATGTATACTTGTAAAGCTATAATATCCTATATATTGTGAAAAAATTACAATTTTTTTCTCTGCAGTTATCATCTCTGTTAATAATCAAACTTTGACGATAATACTAAAATTACAATTTTAAAGAAAAATCGAGTATTATTGAATTCTAAATACATAAATACGTCTACTAAACTAATAAATCATAAAATAACTGCAATATTATCAGTTTTTAACTCTTAATCACTTCAATATTCACAAGGACGTGAACTTCCATAAAGATGTCGATCTTTAATAGTATTTTACCGATGGCAAAACTGTTCGATCGCACGCCTTCGCTATACTCCGGCACAGTATATACAGTAGCGCAACTCTCTTGATTTTATATTGGCAAAAATGGAGTGCGCATGCGTGAAATAAGTAAGTTGCCTCGTCTCTTTTTCTCCTTTTTTATTGTTCTCTTTCTTTCTCTCTCTAATAAACATTTCAATATATAAGCATTTCAATGTTTCACTTAAACATTTGTCTTTCAAGCATACATAGTTTAGAGTAGAAATTTAGAGGGAAGTATTACGTGTATTGTCCATTTGGTGAAATGTTGTGTGAGAAATCTCAAGAGATTAGTCTAATTTTTGCGAAAAAATGAACAAAAAGAAACATAGAAAATCAAGCAAGAAGGATTTCTTTTTATTTATTGTATTTTAAACTTATTTTTAACATATATGTATATAAATTTCTTTTATGTCTCTTTCTTATAATATTTTCATAGATATATAATTACATAATATTTCTTTATACAAATATACATTTTTAAATTAATTTAATATTTTTCCTAATTTTTTCTTTATTTTTTAATATATTTACAATTTATTTTTATTAATTTTCATAAAGTTTAAATTATTTCATTGCAATATTAGGTTTAGTCGCATCTCATACTCTAATATGCTCCTACAATAGCACTTTAACGAATTCGTTGGATTGCGATGCGAATAAATCTAGTGAGTTTTGCAAGGAATTTTGACAGAGCGAAAAAGGGATGAAAAGCAAAAAGTAAAGAGAAACAGGAAGGAATGCTCCCATCAATAATGGGGGTAGCTAAATCCGCGGACAAATGTACGTCATGGCAGCCATCTTAAGCGTCCACTTTTTATGCTAATATATACTTCCGACCGCTTGCTTAGAATCAAACATTTCCTCCTGTTTTTCTTTACTCTTTGATGAAAAGAGAAAGAAATTTAAGTGGTAACCGTAGTAACGCAAGGTAAGAGCTGATTGTTTTAAATTTTATTTGTGAGGTAAATCTGATAACCCACGCATGTGATTGGGTAATCTTGCTACTGACCCAACAGGTAAAATTTACCAAAAGATGAAATAACGCCCTAACTTACTTATTTCACGCATGCGCACTTCATTTTGGCCAACACTAACATCAAAAGTGCCGAGAGTTGCTCTATTTATATACTGTGAGTGGGCAATGATGAGGATAGAAGAACAAACGAGAACGCAACAAGTCTTAGGAATTAGATTATACATTAAAGATTGAGATTAAAGATTAAAATTTTACCAGTGAGGACAAAGAAATTTTGGCTCCTTTTGTTCTGATTGGTCAAACTGCAATCTTTCAATTTTTAATCTCATTCTTCAATGCGTAATGTAATTCCGGCCATAAGCCTATAGGCCTGTTTTTTTTGGCTGAACTTTTGCACCAGTTCATCTTTCTTCCTCTTCTTTCCTCCTAGAGAGAAAAGGAAGAAAGATGAACTGGTGCAAACGTTTAATCAAAAAGAACCAGGCCTAATGAGTGTGTCCCGAATTACACGCATGAAGCACATAATGCATTATTTTATCCTTTTTTATTATTTGATGCACAATAAAGACAAATAATGCATCATGCGTTTTATGCGTATTTCGGAACGCACCATATGGTCACGTTCAGCAGACTCGGATTATGTTCCAAAAGTTGTGTTGAAAATATTGTTTTTAGTTACAATAAGATTGGTAGCGCTGTAACTAACAGGCATGATGTGTTTCGATAGCTGTTACAGTATAAGTATAATACATACAGTATGGACATTGAACTTTTTATGTAGTCCCCAATTTTTAATGTGTATATGTCGATTTCCAGTCAGGATCGTGATTGCCTTCAGCAAGTTGAAGTTGCAAGTTAGGTTAGGTTAGGTTAGCTGAATCTCCTTCCCATAAAATATAATTAACCCTTTTGCTTACAATATTGTGAGAGACTCATGGTAAGGAAATCGGACCAAACATAAGTTGTGCCACACGGGTGAGAGCCGTGGTACATTGTTTATACTTAATTTTTTTTTAATTTATAAGAGAAAAGTATGGCAAAGAGTTAATAAAATCAAATTTTACTAAAAAATAAAATAAAATTTTTTCGGAGACGCTATATTGTATAGATTATTATATTTGTATACTCTCTTATTATATTTGTATACTCTCTTTACGAGAATAAAATATTCTCGTAATAAAGCATGCATGGTGCGTGCGTGTGCGTGTGCGTGTGTGCGTGTGTGTGCGTGTGTGTGTGTGTGTGTGTGTGTGTGTGTGTGTGTGTGTACGTATATTATTAAATTATAACTTCACATTTAATTACAATTTTTATGCAATATATTATTTTTTCATACATAATTAAATTACAATTTTCATATAGTATTTAATTAATTATTATTTTTAATTTATTTATTACTGTTTAATATTATTATTATTA